GTCATTTTAAAACTTTAGGTGCGTGGTTTGTGTTCTTATGGTGCTTTGTTTATGTGCTTAATTAGGTGCGTGTGGTTTGTGTACTTAGGGTGTGCCATTTTAATGCTTAAGGTGTATCAACCGCACAATTGCACGGGAAGCTATACCCGGGTTCATGTGCGGGTATAGCTTCCCGTGCGGTTGTGCGGTTAGATTTGAGTCGTTGATCGAATCTAGATCAACGGCTCAAATCAATGAAAATTAAAAAAAAAAAAAACGCGTGTCTGGAAGAAAGCCACACACCTTTAAGTGTTAGATCTTAAGTACAAACTCACGCACATTAAGTACAAAACCCACGCACATTAAGCACAAACGCACGCACATTAAGTACAAAACCCACGCACATTAAGCACAATCTCACGCACATTAAGCACAAAACCCACGCATTTAAGTATTAACTCACAGACCTTAAGTTTCAACAACTACTGACATTAAGCACAAACTCACGCACAGTAAGTACAAAACTCACGCACATTAAGCACAATCTCACGCACATTAAGCACAAAACACACGCACTTTAAGTATTAACTCACAGACTTTATGTTTCAACAATTACTGACATTAATCACTAACTTCACACAAATTAAGCACAAACCCTACGCAAATTAAGCACAAACTCCACTCACATTAAGAACAAATCGCACGCACCTTAAACACAAAAGCCCACACTTTAAGTTTTACCAACTACTCACATTAAGCACAACCCCACGCACATTAAACATAAAACTCACGCACCTTATGCACAAGACTCACGCATCTTATATACAAAACTCACGCACGTTAATCACAGAACCGCTCACATTAATTTTGACCTAGATTCAAAAATTACAAAATTTCCACAGCATTTTTTTAAAAAATTTTTGATAATCCTAGACGTTGATTTAAGCGAGATGAATGACCCAGATTAAACCGCACAACCGCACCTGAGCACTCTAACCACACCAGAACATATATATATATATATATATATATATATATATATATATATATATATATATATATATATATATATATATATATATATATATATATATATATATATATATATATATATATATATATATATATATATATATATATATATAAGACGAATCATGCGAGAACCACATACCCAGGAGAGAACTGAGAACCAATCGCAGATGTCCATGTGTTCAGATCTAAGGGATTAGAAACACTATTTTTTTTTTTTTGCACAAGTGTCAAATAGACTCATCTACTACTGCGAAGTGCTCAATTCCCACCACGAACTAAATTAAGTGTCAAATAGGCTCATCTACCAGCTAAATTTGTTAAATTTGCATTTTTTACAGGTTGTCTATTTAATTATTAAAAATAAATAAATAAATAAAATTAAAAATTACAAAAAAAAAAAGGACAACAGGTGGCTGATTTTTTTTTATTCTATTTATTTATTTATTTTTAATAATTAGATAGGAAACCTGCTACCAACCTGTAAAAAATATCAATCGAACAAATTTAGCGGTTAGATGGGCCTATTTGACACTTAATTTAGTTTGTGGTGAGAATTGAGCACTTCGCAGTAGTAGATGAGTCTATTTTAAATATGTGGTGGCACTTTCGTAAATAATTGAACTTTGAAGTGCAAGTAAATTGTTTTAAAAGTGCAAGTAACAGTTTCATATATTACACCTAAGTGCAAGTAAAATGTATTAAAAGTAGAAGTAATATGTATTAAAAGTGCAACAAATAATGTACACTGAGCATCAATATTAAGTACATTTAACGTTATCATTAGTTGCAACAAATGTTATCATTAATTATACCAAAGTGAAAGACATTATCATTAGCTGCACCACAATTACAAAGGTACACTACTTGCACTATTAATTGAAAATGATTACACTTTTAAGTGATTTTACTTGCACTTTTTATTTGCACACTTGTACCAGTTACTTGCACTTCTAACACATGTTACATGCACCAAAGTTCGAGTTATTTATGAAAATGTCACCGCTCGAATCTTTTTTTTTTTAAATTACATCTGATCTGTTAAAACTGGACACGTGGATAAGTACAATTGGTTCTCAGTTCTTTCCTGTGAGGTCATGTCTTCCCGTGCGTCAGTGCGGCATATACCATTAGGTATGTATAAATGCACCATACAGTGTTCGAAAATACACCAGAATGAAATGTCAAAAAATACACCACACAAAAAAAAAAAAAAAGATACACCACACATAATGGTGTATGCCGCACTGACCGCACGGGAAGACCTGACCTCATAGGAACCTGACCCTATATATATATATATATATATATATATATATATATATATATATATATATATATATATATATATATATATATATATATATATATATATATATATATATATATATATATATGAACCTATGGACTAATTTAACTCATCGATCTGCACGGGAGAATTCAGGTGAGAACATACTCCTATATTATATAAAAAGTGAAGGCTAATTTGATCCATCAGTTTAGGTAGATCATAGATTGAGACCGGATTGTTGAAAGTGTTGGTCCCAAGCAAGTATAAAAGCTGCGGCGGGGGGCATTGAATAGGCTTTCTCACGTTTTTGCAAGCTTTTCAAAATAGCGCGCTCTAAGTGAGCTTGAATTTCGAAATCACATATTATAAACAAAGCTTGGAAATTAATTTCTTCGCATTAGAAGTCTTTAGCTTGCTTTGAAAATTAGTAGCTAAGGAAACCCCATATTATAATTGGTAATATTATTATGGCATACTAAGATAGGTTTAGAGTCTGTCGGTTGGGTCTACAGTTTACTGATCAAGCAGAAGCAACGACAGAAGAACTGACACTGAAGATCTGATTTAGGGAAGATGTTTCCTTAAGAGTCTTACGCGGTATTATCAGCTCAGTATGGAAAGACGATCAGCGTATCTTCAAAGAAGGTAATGGACCTAATCTGCTGAGATTACATTCCTCTTTTATTGTCGTACCTTCTACAATCAAAGATCTTTTATGGAGAGTGTTTATAGAAGGATCTATAAGTACCAGTTCCAAAAGGTAATTGGGGTTACGCCAAATAAGAAGAAGAAACACTCCATATCAGCTTTAAGAGTCTAGATCTTTGATTGTTATGCACCTTCTCAATACAACTTGTTCATGGTGATTAAGATGATGAACTTGAGAAGAGTTACTGCTGCTTAAACGTCAATACAACTTGTTCATGGTGATTAAGATGATGAACTTGAGAAGAGTTACTGCTGCTTAAACGAAAGGACACTAAGATCACACTGTTGTGGGAACAACATTATAGAGTGTCACTGAAGTGGACTGCATCAGAGCTGGCTCTCCAAGTGAAGGGACTTCATTGGACTTCTGTATGCATGGCTCTCCATCTTCAACAATCCACTAAACCTGTGTAGACTGGGTATGTACCTTGTGTGGGGCACTTGGGTAAGATTATTGTATATCTACCTTTGTACATTGGATTATGACTTAGTGGATTGGACGCCTATGTGATCGTCCCCTAGACGTAGATACACACTGTATCGAACTGGGTAAACATTGTGAGTGTTCGTTCTGTGTGTTTGTTTATTTTTCTCTGATGTTCGCACCATGATCTATCATTACTAAGTAGGTGCTTAACTGAATCTATCAGTATTCTAAGTCAGCAAACTATTTCTGATAATTTTCGTAAAACGAGGAAATGCAAAATTACATGAACGTATAAGTGTGGTTTTGTGTGTTAAGTATGAGGTTAGTTTGCAGGTTAATAAGAAAGAAATGTGTAAAGTAAATGGCACTAATATTTTTATAATGGTTGACAAACTTTTCTATTTCACTCTTCTCTTTAATCGTAAGGAGGTTCCACTAAGTATTGCTCCAAATACAAAGTGATAAGAAGCCTTTGCTTCTATCGGTGATAGTCCTTCAAATAGCGGTTGCCACTAAGTCGCCCTATTGTTCACTATCCACTCAAAGCTAGACAAGGGTCGTTCACAAAGTCGTCTTTCTAGGTTGATTACAGAACTCCTTCCGGTGGGAGACATGACAATTGTTGCTTTTTTGAGTGCTTGCTTTGTAAATCCCTCATATTTCACTTCAACAAAGAGAGCTTGATTGCGTTGAACACTTGCACAAAATGCTCTTTATCACACCAGTTTCAACATAAACTTAGCACTTTCTCTGAATCTACTCTCTAAGTTTGGAGTCCTCCTTTAATTTTATAGACAAGAAGAGGGATATATGAGTACGGTGCCAACTATTGAATTTCAATCTCCCTGTTGTCACTAATCAATCGGTAGCCATCAAGAAAGCTAGCTACCACAATCCCGACCTAAAATTCGATGTCATCTGATAACTTTTGCAACTTATCCATATGGTAATGGTCGTTTCCCTATTTAGGTTATAAGCACTCCAAAGTAAAAAGGAGATGCTCAACTTATCACCAAAATGTCTTTTCCTAGACCTTAGGTATCAAACAAGTTGCATCCTCCAAACCGCTCCTTTTCTTCATCCTTCGATGATCTCTTTTGGAGGTTGATCTTCCTTAAAGGTGCCCCATCAATGGGTTTCCTACATGATTGGAATACAGTATATATTCCCTTTTATCCTGTAGGACTAAGAAAAATAGTCAAGACTTCTTATTGTTTCGGACTTCTTCTGATCCCCTCGGTTTCCTTCCGACTGCTTGATTTCTTCTAAATCTCTTCTTTTTGAAATAGCTTCCTTCCGGTCAATCTATTCTATTTTTAATATTTAAACCAATCAAACACGGTAATACAATTTCAGAAGTCTATATTACCTAGTAATATTGCTGAGAATAGCTCATAAATGCTATCTTTGAAAAGAAAAAAAAATGAAATGCAATTCTATTTATGACGAACCATTCCTGCTGTAAGGCTTTCGTCAGTCACTCAATTACCGACGTACTGTCGAAAACATTAATGTTGATCCGTGGATGGAAAAACACTATAAAATTGCATGCATATTCTCCTTCATAATCATCATCATCATAATCAACAATCTAGCTTAATTAGCGTGCTAGCTACCATGGCCTACTCAAAGCCTTTCTCTCTTCTCCCTTTGCTTTCCATTGCTTTCATCCTTGCACTGCACACACCCATGGCGGCTGCCCAACTCCGCCATTTCTGTGCAAACTTTGCAACCTCCCCTCCCGACTCCCGCTTCCAAAAAAACTTAAACACACTTTTGGGTAACCTCTCCTCCAACACACCACGCAACGGTTATAGTTCCGGCACCGCGGGTAAATGCACCGACAAAGTCTACGGCCTGGCTCTCTGCCGTGGCGACGTCTCCACCACAGACTGCAAGTCTTGCGTAGCCGACGCCACCACCAAGATACGTGAACTCTGCCCCAAAAACAATGGCGGCATCGTCTGGTATATATGTCGTGTATATTGTTAGGATTATACACTTACCATTATGCCAAAAGAAAGTTATAGCTACTAATATAATGAAAGCGTAACTTTATTTTTATACTGCGGTCACCTTTTCGAGAGTCAACCTGCTTGACTTGACCCATCATACCTTGCCTAATAATTCTCCTAGCTATCTGGTGTTATACTTAACTCTTCACAGCTTCTGCCCCGCCCAACAAGAAACCACATCTGGTGTTGGATTTCGCCCTTCACTGCCCTCCACCCTGCCCAACAGGGCCGGATTTTGGGCTGTGCAAGCAGCCCAACAGCACAAGCCCCAAATTTTATAGGGCTCAATATTTAATTTTTAATTAACTAGTTAAGATATTAAAAAACATAAAAATTACAATTAATTTTGAAAGATTGCATGGAGGAATGTTAAAAACATGTGACTATTGTGTTTCTTTTGGGAGGTCCAGGGTTCGATTCTAGCTTATGACATTTTTTAATTTTTCAAAAAATTCTTTTATTATTATTAGAAAAAAAAAAAAAGGCTTTTGAAAGGGCCTCATTTATTTAAAAAACAGAGCCACACAAAACTAAAAATCGACCCTGCTGCCCAAAAGCTATAATTACTAGTAGCCCAATTTTATATCCTTATACTTGTTTAGCAGTGAACGCCACAATTTAGATATGTATCTTTAGTCACACTTTCTGCCTAACATACATGTTTGTTTGCCACATTTAGGTACGATAATTGTCTTCTCAAGTACTCGGAGGATGATTTCTTTGGGGAAATAGACGACGTGAATAAATTCTATATGGCTAACGGGGAAGAGGCGAAGGATCCAAAGTCATTCATGCAGAAAACGAAACAGCTGTTGACCCGACTGGCGGATAAGGCGGCGCTGCTGAAGAGCTCGTACGCGGCGGGAGTGGAGGATATCGGGGGATCATCGGTGATTTACGGGTTGACTCAGTGCACCAGGGATCTCTCCGGCGAGGATTGTAAGAAGTGCCTCTACGACGCCATTGCAGAGCTTCCACAGTGCTGTGGTACTGCCAAAGTGGGAGGGAGAGTTATCCAAGGGAGTTGCAATTTTCGATACGAAACGTATCCTTTTTATAAAGGTGCTTGAAAATAAATACAAGAAAGGAAGAAATGCTACAGCTAGCTAGCTAGCTACCTCGCTTCTTTAGTATGTTACTATATATATATATATGTTATCTGTATAAATAAAAAGGGCGCCCCTGTAAGAGCTGTCCCTAATATAATCAAGTCTGAGTCGGACTCGGTTATATTCTGATCTTTACTTTTGGCGCGTGGTTTTCTTTGTTAAAGTGCGTTGTTTTATGTGGGTGGTTTTATAACTTAATTAAGGTGCGTAGTTTTATATCTTAATGTATTTGGTTTGACGCCATTTATCTGCATTGCTTTCCGTCTTCTTCTCCAACTTGTCCGGGCAATCACAAATATATAGAAGATAAACGAAATTACGAAATACACAAAAACTGAAATACACCATTACAAAAACGGAGATAAGTAAGGAATGAATTGGTATTCATGTTCAAACAAAGCCGCAGAAAACTATTACTAAGTGCAAGGCTGAGCAACATTGAGCAACTAGAAAAAGCTTGTTTTTCTTTTTTAATTTTCTAAATTTGAGCCGTTAATCAATGTTAAATTATCAGCTCAGATTTCACCCCATCTTTCATCTGGGGAGTCTTTACACTAGAACCACTCATATATATATATATATATATATATAGAGAGAGAGAGAGAGAGATCAGAGAGAGAGAGAAGGGTTCAGGTGCGGCTATAGCTTTCCGTGTGGTTGTGCGGTTAACTAAAAAAGACGCACCTTAAGCATTAAAATGACGCACCTTAAGTAAAAAAACAACGCACCTAAAGTTTTAAAATGGCGCACCTTAAGTACAAAAACTATGCACCTTAAGCACACAAATAAAACACCATAAGAACACAAATCACGCACCTAAAGTTTTAAAATGGCGCACCTTAAGTTTCAACGAATGACGCACCTTAAGCATACAAATCACACAACTTAAGAAGTAAAACAACGCACCTTAAGAAGAAAAAACCACGCACCTAAATCTTTAGGTCGACTTTGATAGTTTTACCTAATTGAGTCATCCACTGTTAGAATCAAAGACTAAATCGAAAAAAAATCACTATAGTCGATGACTAAATTGGGTAAAACACCAGTCGATGACTAAATTGATATTAATAGAAAAAAAAATTTACCAAACTATAATTGAGTCATTGACTCATTGAGTGTTAGAATCAATGACTAAATTAAGAAAAAACATTATAGTCGATGACTAAATTGGATAAAATCACTATATTTGATGTATTAGTAGAAAAAATTTTATCAAACTATTCTAAAATATGATTCATTATATTGGATTCTTTGAGCCTTGTTTGGCATCCCTCGTGGACTTCCGGTGTGGGTGTATTTACCTTATTCCCAACAAAGCTCAACCTACAAGTAACATTACTTTTATGGCATGTTTGGTTCATGGAATAGGTTAGGAATATACCTATTCCATTGTTTGATTGGGTCATTTTGTCATGGGAATAACATTCCATGGAATGAGTTATTACCTTTGCAAAGGAAATAGTCATTCCTAGAGGGGCTTAGTGTCTTTATTTCTGAATTATGTGACATATGTAATACAGTAAGAGGCGATCTGGTGCTATATCATAAATTAAATTTTTTTATAAAAATAATTTTAAAAAATGTTTGTTGAAAAAAATTAATAAACATTTTTTAATATTTATCAACAGCTAACTCTCAACCTACAGCTGATCATACCATATAACTAACTTTGTAACTGCCATTGTTAGATTAGTTTAGAAGTTAGTTTTTGGAAGATTATGTAAATATACTAACTCCTCCTCTTTGTGAGATATAGTTTTGTGAAACAGTTTACAATTGTGATGATGAGAGTTCAATGAAACAGTGAAACACCATTCTTCTTTCTTTCAATCTGCAAATATGGTTCAACAAGGAGCTTCAAATCCAGCCCCCGGTCAAGCTTCTGCTCCAAATCAGAATCAAAACCCTACTCAGATCCATGCTTCGAGTTCAGCTGGGAATTTTGATCCCAATGATCAGATGAATCCCCTTCATCTTCATGCCAATGAGAGTCCTACTCTACAATTAGTGACAGTTCAACTGGAGGGAAGAAACAATTACCACAGTTGGGCGAGAGCCATAGAAATGGCATTAAGGTCCAAGAACAAGATGAGCTTTGTGAATGGGCTTGTGGCTGCTCCAAACAAGCTTGATCCAAGATATTACTACTGGGAACGGTGCAACACAATGCTCTTGTCATGGATTCTGAGGGATCTATCTCCCACCATAGCCAGCAGTGTACTTTGGATCAATACAATTGAAGGAGCGTGGAAGGACTTGAAGAAGAGATTTAGTCATCAAGATGTCTTCAGGATTGCTGAGATTCAATCTCAGATATATCAAACAAGGCAAGGTAACTCTACTGTAAATGAGTACTTTACACAGTTGAAATTATTGTGGGATGAACTACTTGTTCTAAGACCCATTCCTAATTGTGAATGTACTCCTAATTGTGAATGTACTCCTAATTGTGCTTGTGGGAACAACATGTCTGAGAAAGTAAAGACACATTTGGAAAATGATATGTTTTCGGCCTTCCTTATTGGCCTAAATGGTAGTTATACAAACACTAGACATCAGATTATGTTACTGAAACCCCTTCTTGATGTTGGTGAGGCTTTCTCTATGGTTTCACAACAAGAGAGACAAGTAAGCATAGAGGCTAATGGATTAGTGGACAGTATCACAGGAATGAATGCCTTTTTTACAAAGGCAAACAACAATAGAAAAGTCTTCCCTAATTAGAAGCAGAAACTTGTGTGCAGCTTTTGTGGATACACAGGACACACCATTGAGAAATGTTACAAGAAACATGGTTATCCCCCTGGTTGGAAGCCAAGAAACAAGGGCATGAGTTCTGTTAATCAAGTGCAGGGACCTATGCAAGAGTCTATCAGTTCTGGCAGTTCAGAAATCAATTCTTCCTTTACTCAACAGGACTGCAGAAGGTTCTTTGAATTCATTCAGCAGGAAAAAGTCAGGGCTAATACTCCACTTGATCCTAATCCACAAATCAATACCATAGCAGCCAACTTCATTCCCAATAATCAGTTTGAAGGTAAAAATGCTAATACTGAATCTGAATGGATTATTGATAGTGGTGTCACACGCCATATTGTATGCAGTGTACTTTTACTTCACACATCCAAGAAAGTGCAAGGAGTTAATGTTGACTTGCCAAATGGACACCATGTAGAGGTGTCACACATTGGGACTGTCCACTTGTCTGCTGATTTGACTTTGCAGAATGTTGTATGTGTTCCTTTATTTCACTATAATCTCATCTCTTTGGGACAGCTTCTGAGAGGTTCTAATTACAACACACTCTTCCATACTGACCAATGCATTATACAGGATCAACACTATGGGAAGATGATTGGTGTGACTAAGCTGAAGGAGGGACTCTATCACCTTACTTTTCCTGCTTCTGCTCACTGTAAACCTGTTGTTTTTCCTATTGTAAATACTTGTAGTTTCTGGCATGCTAAACTAGGGCATGCTTCAGAAGGAAAAATAAAAGCTCTTCATGCTTTAGACAACAAAATTTGTAATGACAAGCCCACAGCTTGTGAATGTTGCCATATGGCTAAGCAAAAAATATTTCCTTTCCAGTCTAGCTCATCTGTTTCTAGTCACTGTTTTGACCTTGTTCATGTAGATATATGGGGTCCTTTTCGGGGTCCTTTTCATGTTGCAACTGTTTATGGTCACAAATACTTCTTAACCTTGGTGGATGATCATAGCAGGGCCACTTGGGTCTACCTCATGAGGAACAAGAGTGAAGTAAAGCACATTATGCACAATTTCTATGAACTAATCAACACACAGTTTGGGAAGAGCATTAAGTGCATCAGGTCTGATAGTGGGAAGGAATTTCTTATGGAAGAATACTACCAGAAGAGAGGAATTATTCATCAAATATCATGTGTTTATACCCCTCAACAGAATAGTATTGTAGAGAAAACATGGGCACATTCTGTCTATGGCAAGAGCCATAAGGTTTCATGCTAGTCTACCTGAGAAATTTTGCGGTGATTGCATCTTACATGTAGTATACTTGATAAACAGGCTCCCATCAGCAGCTTTAGGTAATCAAGTTCCATTCCAGATCCTCTTTAATAAAGTCCCACAATACCAGCACCTTAAAGTGTTTGGATGCTTGGCATTTGCCACAATTCCCAGCTGCCAAAGAGATAAGTTTTCCTCAAGGGCCAGGAGAAGTGTTTTTCTGGGATTTGCAAATGGGGTAAAGGGGTACAAATTGCTGGACTTGCACACTAAAGAGTTTTTTTTTTTTGTCAAGAGATGTCTAATTCTTTGAGAACATCTTTCCTTTCCAGAATTCACAAATCAATAAGCCTTCCAACTTGATTCTACCCTCAGAAGATGTATCTCAGTTGAGATATGATGAGGACACTATCCTGCCTGCTAATGAGTTCACAGCTGACTCACCTGGTTCACCTGAGAGTCCTTCTGATGTTCCAGTTCAGGACAACAATCTTGGCAACACAAAATCAACAGATCCAGAGCCAAGAAGATCAACAAGAATCAAAACTAAGCATGCCTACCTTGGTGATTATACCTGCCAGAATGTTATCAGGAGAACATCTCCACATGACATATCCAAGTTTTTGTCTTTTGACAGACTATCACACACCTACAGGGTGTTTGCTGTGAATGCTCTGAATGCCAAAGAACCAAGGACTTATAATGAAGGTATCAAAAGTGAATGTTGGAAAAAGGCAATGGAATCATAAATCATTGCTTTGCAGACCAATAATACTTGGGTACTCACTGATCTTCCTCATTCCAAGGTACCTATAGGATGCAAATGGGTTTCCAAGACTAAGCTAAAGGCTTATGAGACTATTGAAAGACACAAGGCTAGACTTGTGGCTAAGGGATACACTCAGACACCTGGGTTGGACTACCTGGACACATTTAGCCCTGTGGCAAAGATAACAACAATCAAGGTTTTACTTGCTGTGGCTGCAATTAAAGGATGGATTCTTCATCAACTGGATGTTAATAATGCCTTCCTACATGGGGATCTAAATGAGGAAGTTTACATGACCTTACCACCAAGATTTACATCTCCTAAACCTGGCCAAGTGTGCAAGTTAGTCAAGTCTCTATATGGACTAAAGCAAGCCAGCAAACAATGGAATATAAAGCTTACTCAGGAACTTCTAAGCATGGGATTCAAGCAAGCTATTTCT